TGCATTCTGCACTAGCTGCAGCTTCCGGATTTGGGACAAGGGCAGCCCCATGTAGAGGGCATTACAGTAATCCAGTCTCAAGGTGACCATCACATGGATCACTGTTGCCAGGACGTTGCATTTGAGGAAGGGAACCAACTGCCTAATCAGCCTTCCTCAAGGTTGAGTGGACTGAAATAATCCACAATATGACTAGGAGATGTGTATGGACCCTCGAGCTCATTCACGGTATCAACTGTAGCGGAAAGGTCACGGCGGAGTGACAAGACTTTATCCGCAAAATAGCTCACAAAAGCCTCACAGCTAATATCCAGTTCCCTACATTTTAGTCTGTTTTGAGTCAGAGCAGTAATGGACCGAATAATTCTAAATAATTGGGCTGGGTGTGAGCTTGTGGACGCAATCTCATTCATATAATACTGTCTTTTAGCAGCCTTGACTGCCATCTCATAGGATCTCATAAACGTCCTCTAAGATGCTCTTCTAGATTCGTCACAAAATCATTCACTGAGCTGTCAGGGGGCATTGGATCCTGAAGAACCATCTGAAGCCGTACTGGGTCCATTTGGCTCTGCGGGTGAGCCAAAATGGGCTCGCTGCCCAAACAGGGTTGGAGTGGAGTATTCAAACGGGACTTCAAGGCAAAGTGGTCCAACCATAGTACTGCTAAAGCAGTAATCTGGTCCACTGTAACCCCAGTCGCGAAGATCAAATCGAGCGTGTGCCCAGCCCGGTGAGTGGGGGCCGTTACAAGTTGGGAGAGTCCTAGGGCTGCCATGGACGACACCAGGTCTGCTGCCTGAGTAGAGGCCGCGTCATCAGTATGGACATTGAAATCGCCCAGGACTATCAGTCTGGGGCAGTGTTCCCTCTAAGCTGAGTTAGTGTGAGCTAGCTCACAGTTTTTTAGCCTCCGGCTCACACATTTTCGCCTTAGCTCAGGAAGGAGGGCTCCAGAGCAAACTAGTTTATGCAGCAGCCAAATTGCTCGCTTACAACTTTAATGCCGGCAGCTCACAAAGTAGAATTTTTGCTCATAAGACTCCACAGCTTAGAGGGAACATTAGTCTAGGGTGTTCCAAAGCCCAGCCTGATACTGCCTTAACCAGGGATGGTAGGCTATCGGCCAGTGTATTAGGTGGTCATAGAGTTTAAAGGGATCTCTAGGGTCATCCAGTCCAACCTCCTGCACAATGCAGGAAATTCACAAATACCTCCCCCTCCACATGTCAATGAACAACACTTACAGGTAAGCGCAACTCTGTTTTCGCCTCGTTGACTAGTTTGGGGGGTTGCTGCTGGATGTAATACAGCTCTCTGTGTATACATAGTTTGATTGGCTTTGTTGCTCTTCTCCCATCCTGACTGGTTCAGTTCTATGCATGTCTACTCAGAAGTAAGTTCTCTTATGTACATCAGAACTTAGGTAAATAAAATGTTGACTTACTAGTCCTGCTGCTTCCAAGCATTGTCCCTTAAATGCAGGAAGTCTACATCCTTTCTCTGTTTTTCTCCAGTGTTTCTGCTGCCCTTCTGTTCAGACTAATTTTTAATAACAAATAATGGTGAGGGCTACTAGCTTTTTAAAAAGACATGCAGGCCAAAGAGGAGGAAGACAGCTGCAGCTTGTATTTGGAAGTCCCATACTTATCCTAACAGTGTCTCTATTTTTCTGGCCATGAACTAGAACAGGGGTGGCCAAACCTGATGAATGTAAGAGCCACATAGAATAAATATCAGATGTTTGAGAGCCACAAGACATGAACAAATATTACACGGGTGTTTTTATTGAAAAATATGCAGCTTTGTTTTTTATTAACATTAAATGAGACTGCCAAAAATAAAAACAAAAGGGGTAAAAACAGATTGATAATGATATTTGTCTAAGAGAGAGAAAGGTGGAAAGAATTAAAAAGGTGGAAGGAAAGAGGGAGAGAGAGAAACAAAGAAAGTAAATAGATGGGGAGGGGGAGGAAAGCATGGAGAGAGGAAGAAAGAAAGAAAGAAAGAAAGAAAGAAAGAAAGAAAGAAAGAAAGAAAATAAATGGGGGGGAGGGAGGGGAGAAGGGAGAGGTGAAAAGAAAGGAACTTTAACTTCAAATGTGTTCTCTAACACACACACACACATGCCCAGCTGGCTTGGCTTGGAGAAGGGATTTAAAGTTGGAGTTGCTTTCTTTCTCTGCTCCCCCCCACACACACACCTCAAGCCTACCCAGGGAGGGGAACACTGGATGGGGAAGGGATAACCTATCAAGGAGGCATGCCTCCCCTTCACTTCCTCAGCTCCCCTGCCGGGAGCCGCACAATATGTGTAAAAGAGCCTCATGTGGCTCCCGAGCCACAGTTTGGACACCCCTGTACTAGAACCATTCCATATTTGCAATTCCTTAATGTGATTAAGCATAGATACTCAGCCTTAATGTTACGCAAACACTGTACATGGGGGTATTTGGAGGTAGCACTGCACTGATAAGGTATGCTTCTGTGAAACTTAAACTGCATTCAAGGATCACAGCAGGCCTCTGTTCATTATGGGCATGAACTCAGCTTGTTGCCATGCTCATGCATGCCATCTTTCCCTTCCCCTCCAGTTATGCAGGGAGAGTTATTGAAGGCTTCCTGTCAAGCCGTAGTAGGCCCTGATGCTTGAATGAGGGTGTGGGGGCACACTGGAGGGATTTTTTTCATTGTAAACTACAGTTTAATCACAGTTTGTGGGGCTGGTAACAAATTCACGTTTATCCAGGCACCCACATTCTGATGTCACAAAGAGTTGAGTCCGAAAGCTTCTAAAACCAGCAAGCCTTTGATTACATGTCATGTTTGAGGGGAAGAGCAAGGGAGTGCAGAAGTACAGAAACAAGCTGTGTTTGTGCAGATCATGTGGACAAGCAGGTTTGTCATGCCATCTGGATGCAGCTGTATCTCTCATACTTTAAAACACAATTTTTTTACTCTAAATTGTGTTCATAATTAAGGTCACTATATTTGTATCTTGTGTATAAATTAAGAACAATGTCTTAGTCATCATTAGTCTCTGGAACTTTTTCATTGCTTAGTTTACCAAGCAACATTCTAGTTAACACAATAAAAATGGGTCTCTCTTTTTTTTTTTAGGAAACTTTGAAGACAGCATTAAAGAGAAACCGCATAGTGCATCAGCTACTTTCATTCTTGCTGAAAAGGACACATCAGCTAGCAGAAATATAAATATGGAGATAGATATCAAAAGCAAAACTCAGGTATTTAAAGCAATTAACATGAATGATCGTCTAAGATTCAACTGTTTGAGTTTGAAAGATATAGCATTTGTTTCCCTTAAGAGGCTTATAACAGAGAACAAATAGGTACTGCATATTGTGAGAAGAAAGTCAGATCACTTTTTTCTTAGCCAATCTGAGTAACGTTGTGTTTTCTCCCAAGATGAGACTGTATATTAAATTGTATATTTTAATCTACCACCCCCACCCTCATTTCAGGAAAAAACTGGAAAAAGGAGAGTTGAAAATGTACACCCTGAGCTAAAGTCACCTGGGCTGAGTATAAGCACAATTGCATCTGCTATTGCAAATGCTTCTGTTAGTGCTGAACCTTCACAGTTAGCGGCTATGATAATGGCACTTTTAAATAACAGTAGAGAAATTACCAACATTCTTGAAGCTGGCAAACCTTCAGACTTCTCTGTGATCAGTCAGTTTTTAGCCAGCAATGTAGAAAATAGTACACTGAATATGGAGAAGTATCTCAGAACTGAAGAAGGTGAGAACGTCACCAAGTTTGAAAGCTTCTTTAATCATCAGGACATTAGCACAGAGTGGCATAAATCTTTGTATAAGCAAGAACATCAAATTATTCCTACAGAAGACTTGTCCAAAAGCAATTTGTATAGCAAACATGGAAAAGAGAAACAGCATCTGGAAAGACAGTATGAGGGAAATTGTTCCAATGACTCGTCTTGCAATACCACTTCTTCCAAAAAGAAAAACAGCATAGGGTCTCTGGACCCATATTTAGAAGTACAATCTAATACAAATGATAACTTTCAGTCAAAGCAGCTGACCTCCATTGCACCAGGTTCAAAAGAGCGATCTGGGTGTGCAGAAATACTTTCGGAGGAGCATGTAACAAAGATAACATCTGTTGGTGAGTCCTAATTAAAACTGTTCTATAAGCTGTTGAATAGCTGCCTAGGCTCCAAGAGACTTTCACAATTTACAGGGAGCATGCATTCTTCTCAGTGCATTTTAAGAAAGTTTCTTAATGTGACTAATACAATTTAAAATTTTACAACGGAGTGGTTTATCTAGAATTATGACTACTATATTATCAATGTGTGAGAGCAGTCCTCAATAGGTCTACTCAGAGTTCTACTCAAGTTTATTCAATGGGGCTCGCTCACAGGAAAGTGTTCTTAGGGTGGCTCACTGTGTTTTCGTGTTCTTCTGGATAGATGTAGTACTTTATTACAAAACTGTATTCCACCGTCCTACCAGATACCTTGGAGGGTGTATTGTTCACGGTCGGTCTTTCTTTCTTTCTTTCTTTCTTTCTTTCTTTCTTTCTTTCTTTCTTTCTTTCTTTCTTTCTTTCTATTATACAGCTTTATGGCTGTACTACATTTATTGTCTCCTTAATTAGAAAATGCTGGGAATGGTATTTGAATTTTGAAAGTACACAGCTTATCCTGAAATGTACAATAGAAACTGGTATCCCTGGCAGAAATTATTAAAAATGATTTGGGACAACAGCTAAAGACTCAGTGAGATGAGACAAAAAGAATTATGCTTTGTTTTTTGTTCAGCTCACTTTGAACCAGGAGATAGAACTACCACAAGCACTTTACCCTTGAACTTGAACACTGTTTCAGTATTGGTTTCTCCTTTTCCTGCGTTCCCTGACAAGGAAAAGGTTCAGTACAAAAACAAGCAAGATGGTAAAATCCTGAAAAAGAATTCTGCATGTAGCAGTGAAAAACATGTGACTTTTGACAAATCACCTATTGATAACCAGAAACTTGTTGGTAAGTATCAAAAGAGCTATAGCCAATTTCTGTTGTGCCTTACCATGAAGACAGTGAAGCAGAATTAGCAGAATGTTTGTTTTGCTTGTTTATTTACTTCATTTATACCCCACTTTTCTCCCCAGTGGGATCCAAAGTGGCTTACAAGTCTCCTCTTCTCAATTTTATCCTCACATTAACACATATCAACATTTAAAACTCCCTCTCTGAGGATTGCCTAAAATGAAGGATGACAGTGAGGGAATCTTTAGACAAGATCCTCCAGTTGAGCTATCCTGTTTCTTGCAAACTTTAACAGATTAGTTAGAGAGGAATGAAATTGACTAGGTTGAGCTAAGGATATCCAAGACATTGCTGGTATTCTGCGTGTTCATTTCCCATAGAGGTGGTGAAAGTATTATAGGTGCCATTTGTGGGTACACCAGTAGTGCAATTGTGTCTGTGTGTATCATTCTCCAAGGGTCAAACTACAATGATGGCAGGCACTACTTTAAAAGCATCTATAGTTCTTGGAGCGAGGGAACTCGAGTATTCTGAAGTAGATTTCCCAAATGGGATTTACATTTTGTATGTGGGGTGTGCTTATGAACTCACCACTTGAACCTGTCTGCAAATTCTGTCTGCACCATCTCACTCTGCAAGTTCAACAGTTACCTTAAGAACAAATCCCTTTTCATTCCAAAAATCATTTCTATAGGGCCAGTGCATTGCTCCACACACACCTGAATTCATATTTATGTCTCTGCAGAAGTTCATTGTATCTAAAAAGTGTGGGAAATGTAGAAAACCAGATTTAATTTTTTTTTCATTCAGAGGATGTTCAAGGTTGAGGGAATGTTTCAAGAACCTTATTGAATGCTAGCATACAAAAGAGTTTCAACTAGCATAGGGGATTTTGGTCCATTCTGTGAGAGAGGTGAGCTACTTCTGAACCAGCAGTTTGTATACCACACAAAAAGGAATAACTTCCCGTATGTGAAGTTTGGTCATTACTGCTAAAACATTCCACCATCACAGGTTGCCTTTCTCTCATTGCAGACAGAAATTTTGGACTTCTTCAGGGTGGTTCCCTCTGGTCATGGAGATAACATCCTGGCCTCAGCTTGCAGTCTTCACATAGTGGAAGGCGGGGATTTATTCCTCATAGTCAGATTATAGCATCTCAGGAACAGTCTGCCATTTTAGCCTCCTTCTCTGTTTTCTGTTTAGTTGTATTATAGCATTTATTGTTTGTAATTCCACAATTTGATTGTTTTGCATAGTTCATTCCTTTGCAGTAGGAACTTAAACCCTATGTGCTGCTTCTCCATGGACATTCCAGAAGACTGCCTTCTGAAATCGATGGGAATAATCACTCCTCATCACAAGAAGTTATTTGCCATGACCAAAAAGAACTCCCATGCCTAAGTCTTATTTCTTTTCTGTTTAGGTGAAGCTCTTGTAGAGGCTGAACAGAAGCCTGCATCTCCTGTACCTTCTATGCAAATTTCAGATGAACAGTATAGTTTCAGGCCTTCAACCTCTCCGCTTACTCATTCATCTCCAAGTGAAGCTTCTGGAACAGTCCTTTCAGGGTAAGGCCTTTGTGTGAAAGCACAGTGTTGGGGGACAAGGAAGGGGGCAGTATTCTGTTAAATTTTCTCATTGTGAACCAGTAATTAGTCAAGATTATTATTTTCCTTTTAAGAGGTATTGACTCATCTGTGTACTATATTAGAGCTGGTAGCATACATGGCCCTGCTTTTTCTCCACTAGTTAAGGCTAGAAGGGAGGAAGAGGCACATATGAAGCTGCCAAGTGTTTCCTTTGGGGAAAGCTGCTATTGTCCCAGGGAATCAGGTGGATGGCAAATTACAAGACAGAGTTAATTTATACCAAGTTGAAAGGTTTTGTAGGAAACTAGGAGGGTGTATCTTTAAAATCTGTTTACTTTGTTTCTTAGGTATGATGTTGACTGTCCTTGTACAACACCAAATTTTAAGCAGTCCTCTTGCAATGACAGTACATTACCTCAGTCAGTAGATTCTAGTACTAGCTTGGGACGATTGACCTTTGTATCTGCCTCCGAAAACACAATTAAGAATTTAGGTCTTTCCAGTCCAGAGAGATGTCAGGTAAGTAGCCTGTGAGATGCCAAATCATTCTAAAATTGTAATACAGCTCTTCATAATGCATACTTAAAAGCTTATCTTTGCAGCAGCATTGCATGTTAACCAAGAGCCATTCTAGTCCAGTGTGTGTAGAGTATTAGATTCTGACTGGCATGATTAGGATTAATGTTTGCTTAAGAATGAACAAGTTCTGATTTGCTCAGTGTTTCTTAGCAAATATGAATTATGAATTAGAATTGTAAGCCGCTCAGAGCCCCTAGGGGGTGAGCGGGATAGAAGCCGAAGGATAAAAATAAATAAATAAATAAATATTTCCCATAGGTAATATGAAAGGTATCTCAGAGGGGATTGAATAAATCAGGATGGTTAAAGTAGCTTCCCAGTGCTAATGCACAAGAAGTGATAGGCTAAGGCCTGAATTGCACGTCCAAGAGAATGAAGTGGCTGAGCCCTGAGGTGGTAGATTGAAATCCACCACTTGAGGCTACAGTTGGTGGATTCAATTCCATTGAATAGTGGTTGTTAAGATAATTATTTTATTAATGGCATTTTTATACAATACTGCAGATTTCCTGACAAAGCAACTTGTCATTATATTACTAATAAACTAGTTTCTTTCCCTTTGCACCATCAGCCGTTTTTGCTTTTCTTTGGTTGCGGTCACACATGCGAGATAACGTGAGGGGGAAGCGAGGCTATTTGCTCCATAGGAATTCGGCCCGCATTTGTACAATCACACAGTCCCTGGGAGTAACCATGGGTGAATCGGGGTTGGGGTTTTTTGCTGCTTGTTTCTGGTGCGCTTCAACAAGGGATCGATGGTTCACATCTCCGCACTGAATGCTCCCTATGCAGTGTGCGATGATGCGTGTACCGAAACGGAGAAAAAAACAATGGCATGGAGTCAGGATGGCCTGATCAGACCATCCCAATGCCATAGGCGCGCGCTGAAGCGATCATACAGGGGAAAGTCCGTTCCTGGCCCGTAGCAACCTGTTTGCTACTGGACTTTCCTTAGTGTCTTTTTACCCCGCTTCTGCGGTGGAGCAAAACAGGTTGCCGACGGGTGCGGGACACTTGGCAGATGTTCTCGTGTGATCACGACTTTAAAATCTGCTCCATTCACGCCTATGGTGCAGCTATTTCTGCGTGTGATTGCAACCTTTGTTTTGTTGACTGCCCTCCTTTTTGGATTCCATCTTTGGTTATTCCATTATTTTAAAAAATGCATGCAGATTGAAAATTAGAACAGCAGAGAGTGAACTTCTACTCCTCTTTGCTTGTTGTGCTAGTTTTCTGTTTATAAGGATGTCTTTTTAGAATAGTTAAATGTGATCCTCCACCTACAACCTAATGTGGTGTTGTCCATTATATGCCCTCATTTCCCTGCATGTATGAACCCAGCCTAACTTTACCTTTACAAATTTGGGTAGCAGGAAACCATCATCTTCATCTGGCATCATTTACTGGTTAGGTTATATCATTTGATGTCCTTTATATGAAATACCACATGTATCTAACAGAAGTAGCCGATACATACCAATGATATGGAAAGTGAAGACCTTAAAAAATACGCTATATAGCACATGTGTCAGTCAAATTTTGGGAGGTATTTGATGCAGGCTGAATTAGTAAACTTGGTACATGCTCTCCCCCTTGATTCCTGAATTGATCACTGTTAGAAAAACCAAAAAGGGGGGGGGGGAGGAATTCAACCCAAGATATGACTGTGATATATGAGGGTCAAGCTAACAAATTAAGTTATTATAAAAATACAAGTATTTATTATGGTGTACACATTAGTAAAAGATACTAATACATATACAATTGATGGGCATATCTTATGACCAGTAGACATATGAAACGCGTATGGTCTACTGGTCATAAGAGACACCCATCAATTGTATGTTTAAAACTAATAGCTCTGTATGTAAGAAGTTTGAAGAGTCTGATATTTGGATCATTTCTTTTAACCTATTTTATCTTTTACTTTATTTATGCAATATATTTATTGGGTTTTAACAATATAAGCCTGTTTCATACATTTATACCAAGTCAACAAGAATACAAGTACCTTTTTTCATTTCATTTCCCCATTCCAGCAATACAGAAGTATCAGTCATGTTACTCAATATAAACACACAAGTATCCTATTACTACTTTCCACCTTATTATTCACTCTAAGTTGAGCAAACAAAAAAGAATCTTTTAATTTTCCTTTAGGATAGCATACTGCCCTAGATAACCTATAAGTTCATATTGGCTATATTAAAACATACTAACATTCCATAAACGCTTATTTCCAGTATGAAGAGCAGGGTTTAAAATCCACATTATTTATTTTTATTATTTATTACTCTATTTTTTCCCCTTTAGTTTTCCATTACTTCCTTATCTCCTATGTATTAGTTACACCTTTCCACAGTAAGCTATACTGAGCTATCTTACTTAACATCATCCATCTAGTTAATAAGTTATTTACTCTGATTCAATCATGGTCTTCTCAATACTAAGTATTCCAAAACCACCATGCATCAATAAATAGTTACATACATGTTTAAATAAATATCATCCATTAGACTTTTTATAAATTATTTTAACATTTACATCCAAGTTTTCCAATTCCTAACCCCTCCAAACTTTCAATTACAATTAAATATCCTATTAATACCCAATGTCACATTATATTACTAAATTTTCCATCATGATTTTCTAATAATCTCTAAACTTAAAATAACCAAGTAACTTAAAGAACGAAAAGAAAGAAAAAAAGAACATACCTACTTAAATATATTTTAATTCATTATTCCATCTCATCATTAATCCCTCAATCGTTCCATTTTTCTATCTAACTTAATTTTACTCTTACACCCTCTTCTGTTTACATTACCAAGTTATTCCCCCCTCACTATTATTATTTCCATTATTAATTTATTGACAATTTACATTAAACTCTTATTGATATCCCATAATACATTGAATCATTACCTGGGATAAGTTTCCCATCCTGTTGACCTAGCAGCTCATACATGGAACAAGATATAACCTTATACATTATACCAAATTAAGTATTGCACATCCAGGTCATTTTTCCATCTATTCTATCTTGGTTATATACCATTCCTCCTCCCCTTCTCAATATCTTATTCTTTCTTTTATACATCAAGATTCTACTTTCCCACTTCAGCCTCTCCACATGCCTTCGGCTTTTGTGTCTTCTTGGCTTCCCTGCTTTTCCCCTGCTATTGATCAGCCATTCCATTTTCCTTCTTTTGCTTTTCTCTTTAAATTTCCAGGCCCTTCTTTTCTTTCTCATAATCCTCCTTACTCTTTCTCTTTCATTACTGTTTCGTGTCTTATTATAGTTGGATAGTCCTTCTTTAACACATATCAGTTCTTTTCCCTTTAAATTCTTAATACACATTCCTTCTCTTGCATATGCTTCAGCTCTTTTTCTTGAACGACAGCACCCTTCTCCTTTTGCCACTCCTCTGAGCTCTCCCGCAAATTGGGCCATTCTGTTTCCTCCGTCTTTCCAAACCCTCTCTGCACATTCTCTAATTTTTCCACTATCTTCTCGCAAGCCTCTTTGCATTCTTTTTGAATCGTCTCCCTCAAAATGGTAAAAAATTGTTCAATAGTTAGCTCAGCCACCTCGTTATTTTCATCCAGTTCCTGCTCCACTTCCGTCTTTTCCGCCATAACCAACAAGTTCTCCATAACCTTAGACTTTCAGTAAATTGTTCCCTGTATTCCGTACATCCTTCCACCAACCACTTTTCACTCTCTTTGATTTTAATCCGTCTTTGCCAATATTTCAGGTCCGTCAAACAAAAAACACACCCGTCATTGTACTTTCCTTCCCCGCCTCAAACCACGATACAAAACGTAAGTGACCGGTATTGTAATGCCCCTGTATAGAACAATGGTATAGATCTATGGCCCCTGCATAGATCTTTGGTGCGGCCTCATTTGGAATGCTGTGTACAGTTCTGGTCACCAAATCCACAAAAGGACACTGTAGAGCTGGAAAAACTACAGAGGAGGGCAACCAAGATGATTCGGGGATTGGAGTACCTTCCCTTTGAGGAAAGACTGAAGAGTCTGGGACTTTTCAGCTTAGAAAAGAGACGACCAGGGCTCATTTCCTGCAGGAGCATACAGGAACGAAGCTCCAGCAGTAAGGAGCCCAGGGGGCGAGCACATGCAGCAAGCCCGGTCCCCTGCTCCCAGCAGCCCTACCGCTTTTCCTGGCCCGCTGGCCAACCCAGCGGAGCGCTGCCACGAGCTGGCCCTCAAATTGGCCCTCGAGCTGCTTCGCCACTGCCTGGGCCATGGCTCCCAGCCCGCCCAGGCTCTGCCCGTCCTCATGCCAGCCCTGGTGTGGCGCCTTTGCATGGTGGGCCCCAGCTACTCCTGTGAGGCCTGCGAGGAGCTCCAACCCAGCCTCCTGCGCCTACTCAGCCTCCTCCTGCACCTCTGCCCCACCATCCCCCTGGCCCCCTACCTGCTCAAGGCCATGTGCATCCTCCACGCCACCCTCCTCAACCCATGAGGAGCCACGCACTTTCCTGCACTTGCCGGCCATCCAAAAGAGTCCAGTGGCACCTTTACGACCAAGGTTTATTCAGGTACAAGCTCTCCCTCCTCTGTGAGGGCAGATCTGTGCGTCCCCCCCCCCATAGGCTAGCAATCCGAAATAGTCCAGTAGAGCCTGAGCGGTGGGTGTTGCCTTCTGACACACTTCTGGTGATGTCAGAGGTGTGGCATATGCACATAAATTAAGCTAATGAGTTATGCTAATGCGCCCCTGCACCTCTTTTCCTACAAAATGACCCCTGGAGATGACTGAGGGGACATGATAGAGGTTTATAAAAATTATGCACAGGGTGGAGAGAGCTGACAAATAGAAATTTGTCTCCCTCTCCCAAAATACTAGAACTCGAGGGCATGCAATGATACTGAAGGGCAGTATAACCAGGAGAGACAAAAGTAAGTACTACTTTATGCAAATAATGATTGAAAAGTTGAACTCACTGCCAGAGGATGTAGTGATGGCCACATGCATAAACAACTTTAAAAGGGAATTAGAGAGATTCATGGAGGACCAGTGTATCAATGGCTACTAGCCATGGTAACTGAGGGGAGCTTCCACATTCTGAGGCACTGAGCTTTTGACTCCCAGAGTCAAAAGGCAACATCAAGGGCAGGCCTCAGCCTCTATGCCCTGTTGTTGGCCATCTTACTTTTTTCCCACCATAGAGAACAATGGAGGGGATAGGGGCAGCACGACCATCCCAGTTGTTTAAGGCATCTCAGGATCTGCTCACTCTTAAAGCTAACTTTTTATGGTCTCAGGAGCAGGACATTAGTTGTGATGCTTTTGCAGTTTTTTGCTGATAAAATATCCCAAATATTCCAATTTGGATGATGGATGTAACACAGCTTAGACAGCAGAAATGCCCAATGATGGTGGTTTCTAGCTGCAGTATTGCCTTATACTTCCCAGTTTGCCATTAAAAAAAAAGAATCTTGAAGTCATTGCCCTGGAGACATCCTTGCACAAAAGCCAACCAAACTAAATCATGCAAAATCAGACTTATTGTTTACTATATTGCTCGAACATCAAACAATAAATGTTGGGGAGAAGATGGAATATAGGATTGTTCTGCCCGTTGCCTTTCCTGAAAAGGTGGTTTGACTCTAGAGGATGTTAAAGTTTTCCCCAGCTTCACCTTGTCAAATTTTGACCCTGCCTTCCTCTGTGAGGACAACTGTTTACTAACCTTGGATTTCTTCAGCAAACACACTACAGTCCTTCATCGAGGCTCTTGGATTTGGATATTTCCCTCTTCTTTTTTAAACAAACTGATCTCTGTTTTTAGGCCTCTTATCCAATACAGTAGCCTTAGAGAGGAGGAGGAGGAGATTGCATTTATACTCTGCTCTTCACCACCTGCAGGAGTCTCACAGCAGAGTGCAAAATCGGACTTCCTCTCTATTTCATTGCTCGAACACAAAAGAACATAAAAGACTGCCAAAGGAGTCTCAGAGTCATATGTTGTGGACTGGAGATACCCAATATGGTTAAATCCGCTAAGAGCATTCCACACTATCATTCAAAGCATCACTGTCATTCCACAATACTTCACATCTGGAAGGTTCATCAACAGGCTTGTTCAGTCATTACTGCTTTTGGATTCTAACCTTGTGTAATGGAAGAGTGACCTACTCACACTCTCCTAGATATGTGTGGGTGCCGTTTTATGTGAATAGGGCAATGAGGGTATTTACCAGCTCCAGTACATAGGAACATGTTCTACAGAAATCTAGATTTCTGATCACACTTACTAAAACTGAAAGGTATATATGGCCCCGGTCACATGGGCAGGAAAATGTGGGGGGGAGCGTGGCTGTTTGCCACGGAGCAAAATAACGTGCGGTTGAGGGATCAGACGTCCCATAGAGGTCCTGTCGAGGTCCCGTGGTTAGGGGGGAGGTGCCAATCACAGGACAATCCTGCGGCGCGGCAAAGAAGCGGCCTCTCTAGCAAAAGGCTCTGCGGGTTTAACCCCTTCCAGGGCTGCAGAGGAATGCAAACTGTGTCCTCCGTCCGGTCCCCTCCAGGAGGAGCTTCAGCCGGGCTGCCCTCCCGCCACACACCCCGCTACACCTCCCCCTCTGCCACCCGGTGCAGAGAGTTCCTCTCGAGCAGGCCGAGCCAGGAGTGGGGGAGGTACGGAAAAGAGGAGGGGGCTGTGTTGTTTGATTTTAAACAAAGTGTGTGTGTGCACATGCGCCGTTGGGTGCTTGTGCACATCCCCTGGAGACTTAGGGAAAAACCCTTTTAGCGATGGGACATGGGCAGGCGCCGGATGCCACGACCTACCACCGGAAACGCGATCAGACGCCTGCCCTTGCCCGGCGGTTTCTGGAAACTAGTACCTCAGAGGTACTAGTTTTTTACCCCGCATCTTCGGTGGGAAGCCTTGGGTTCTCCACAGGAGCTCTACGCTTCCCAGATGTGGCGCTGTGATCGCACCCGGAAAATCCACCGATCTTCCGTCTCTGTAGCGTGGCTAATGCTCCGTGTGACCGCAGCCAATGTTGCCCTGTTCACACAAAATAGTAACTACCCATATTGAGAGGATTGTGGGTAGCGCACTCTTCCATTACACAGGTAGGGACTGTAGTTCAGTGGTAGAGCATCACAGTCCCAGGTTCAATCCCCAGGATCTCAAATTAAAAAATTAGGGAGCAGGTGATGTTAAAGATCTCCACGTGATCCTGAAGAGCTTGTGCAGATTAGAGCAGAATAGGCAATGCTGTTGTTGACAGATCAAGAGTCTGATTAGATATGGGCACAAGCCAACTCACGACTGAAAGTTCATGATGAATCTTGGCTGGTTTGTGATTCACAAAGTGACGTCTACGAACAGAGGGGGCGTCACAAACTTCCATGAATTTTAAGGCAGTTCATGATGGTTCATGAAGAGGAGGAAGCAGGGGGTTAAATGTCTCTGAGCCATTTAAGCCCCTGCTTTCTGCTTTTCATGAAAACAGCTGAGCGGCAGGGAACAGAAATCAAGGGTTTAAATGGCTCAGAGCCATTTAAGCAGGTTAGCATATGTAGTGAGATAAGAAACAGGATTACTGGTTTCTTATCTCACTATTTGCTAACCCCATTCAGACCTTACTTCTGTATTCTCACCAATCCCCCAGAAGGGCCATAAATCCTCTTTATTTCTTATTTGGAATAATAGATTAGAATAGAAGATTGTAATGTAATGAATAGTAGAATGTAATGTAATTTGGAATGGAAGATTGGATATTTCTCTGGTCTGGGGACAAGGGAGATAACTCGACACAGCCAATTGCTCCACTTCAAAATAGAAGATGCTGTAAGGTCACCTCCATGCTTGAGAAGAGCATAATGGCAGGGTCTCTCAATTAATTACTCTCAGCATTCCACAATTAAAGATACATCTGCCCATCAATCTCCAAATCTGACAAATTTGTTTCCTTTACTATGTTTTCCCTGGAATTAAACCGAAACAAATGCTATTCCTGTTTGGTCCTTGACTCTGTTAAACATCTTCATTATGCTGTATGCTAATTTACTGCTTACCGTCTACCTTTATGTATAGACCGGTAATTTCCATTTCATTGTATCTGAAGAAGTATGCATGCACACAAAAGCTTATACCTTGAATAAAACTTTGTTGGTCTTAAAGGGGCCACTGGACTCAAACTTTGTTCTGCTGCTTCAAACCTACACAGCTACCCCACCTGAAGTCAAATTAGTTGTCGCGTATGTGTGGGTGTTCATTCAGCCCTGTCTCCCATGCTGGTCTGAGTTAACCCC